TTAACGGTATGATGTATTGCCGGACTTGGTTAACAGCGGCGTCCTCCTCACGCACCCACCCGACAAGTTGCCACCAACAAACTCGAAACCTTTCAGACAGCTACAATTCGGCGAGTTTCCATCGAGGCTATCTGTACAAGTCGCGTTGTTTCCGCACCGGTTGTAAATCTCGCATTGGGTACTGAATGGCTGCGCCCAGTACTGATACCAGTTCTTGCTGTCGTTAGCCCACACGAGATGACGCTCGACGCCGTCCGGCGTGAGAACGTAGCGGTGAGAGCTGTTGAATTGCGAGTAGTAGAAATACATCTTGTTCTCTTGTTGAAAATTGTTGAGCCTGAACCCGTAGATGTAGTTCGGCACCATGTTCTGTATTCCTATGAACACCTGTCCGTTCCACCTCCCGGAGCGCCACCAAGGCTTGTTGCCTTCCCATATAAAGAACTGAGTAGACCGGTCAGGGGCAATGCCGATGGAGAAGTTCCCCGGCGCCGGGTCGTCCTCGCTGCGCCATGAGGTGAACACCTGGTTCACATTGGTGATGAGGTCGAGTCCGACCTTCATGCCGGGGAGGTAGGTATCGCAAGGGTGATCAAAGCTCTGCCACGCCATGACGCCGGAGTTGTTGAGCATAAGGTTGCCACTGTCGAACAGCTCCGCCGTGGATCTATTCGACTGCAAGGAGGTAACTTTTGATGACCAAAGGACAGCTTTTTGGCCGTCCAGCACGACCAGGTTGCCATCATCAGCGATGGCGAGCGAACCCGACCTGTCAAGGACAGGGGACTTGCGATTGGCAACCCAGAGTACAGTGGAGGTGGAGAAGTTGTGGTACCAAATACCGACGTAGCGATTGGCGGAGTTGCCGGGACAAAAGAACCCGAGCTCAAAGATGCCGCCGGAGGAGACGAGAGTGGCGCCGTCAGGTAGGGGTTTGCCGGGTAAAAGCTGGAAGCTTGATGCCGCTTTCGCTGCTGGGAGGGAAAAGACGGAGATGAGGATGAAAGCTGAGAAGACGCCGGAATAGTACAAGCCACCCATGTTTATCGAATAGAGCAATTTGTGAAGCGGAAGACTCATTAATCATTATTAGACTCTCCATTCTCTTAATATTCACTCAACGTGCGCATTGACGTCGCAGCCGACGAGTTTGAAGCTCTGAACGCGCAATTATTAAAAAGGTGTGCAGAGGATTTAGTGGTCAGTTTTGAAAAGGAAGGAGAAAATGCAAGTAGGAGCTTCAAATCAAGTCTCCTAAAAGTGTTTTAAAGGATTTATTTGGGATGACGGTAATGTTTATAAAACTAATTATGAAATTATTATAGAAATATCAGTTTCACTATTAAGAATTACGATTGTAGAAAATAATTTTATTTAATTTATATTATTATTTAAATAATAGTTAAGTAATTAGGAAATAAAATAATAAATAAATAGCGTTAAAAATTAAATTTTAATGTTTAAATGATTTTAATGAAGAGAATACCAGTTTTAACTAAAAAAAATTGAGCGATTTATCACGGCATCTACCTTATAGTGACTCTCAATCTATAATTATCATTTATATATACATATTACTCCTCTAATCGAGCTCATTATATTGCTACAGTGGTACAGTAGGTTATATATATAAATAAATAGATAGAGTTAACTTACCATCGCAGCCATTCACTTACAACACTCTATTGAAGGTGGTTATCGTTGATCAAATATTGAAAGCTTTTAAGCTTTTACCCTCTCTCGCATTTTCGTCCAAATATAGGCATAACTTAATGTGCTCTTTCCCTCCATCCGTAATCCGATATAAATAAACTCTCTCCACCAACCAGATAGAGGCCACCCTATTTATTATAAAATTATTATTAATATTTAATTATTTGCAACTAATGAAAAATTCATAAAATAAAAAAAATGCAATTTATAATTAACTTAATCTACTCACTTAAATTAAATGCACAATACTTTAAGACGTATTATATATAGATTAACCGGTCCTCATGTTGTACCCCTTTCCTACACTTGAACTTATATTATAATAATATTTATTATTAATATTTAATTTTATTTAAATTAAATGCAATCCTCTGATAAATATTATAATATATTGTATTTACCTTACCTCACATATCATTTTTTAAAAAATAATCATTAAATATCGCCCTCGCAGGTTGCTGAGTACCACCCTTCGTTTAGATAAATATTTATAAAAGTAGAATATACTAGTAATATAATTTAGAGTTAAAATTAAATAGATAAAATAAAACACCTATAATTGACACTCTCCACCATGAACACACCTTATGACGTCACCTATATATTGACGCTTGCCGAGTCATACTCTGTTCTTCTAATACACTTCAACATGATGGCATCTCAAGATATCCACCTCCCCTCTTATCTCGACTACTTTCCGGATTCTCCGACCTTTGGTTACTCTCAACCTACAGAGCAATATATCGCCCAAATCATATACTCTCTCAAACATAGGTTTCAACCCTAGTAGAAGTATGCTCCAATATAAGGACATTTAAACGCAAAAAATTATATTAATAAACTTATACAGGAGATAATTATCTATTTTCAACCAGCTCAGATTTCTATCGTTGGTCACCGAATCAACGCGTCACATATGATACCTGAGCTACTCTATATCGTATTCCTGATGATTCTAAATACACACTGCGTCGATCTCGAGAATATCTGCTTCACTCTTCATGTATATAACTCAGCTCTATACCTTAAACGTGCTCCACAGTGTATAAGCTAACCCATCGGCCACATCCTCCAACTACATTCTCTATATAACCAATCTCCCGGTGCAGTCGCGTTCTCACTCACACTAAGATCTTACCTCCTCAGTCCTACCGCGTCCCACTCATCTCATGCTCTTCGCTCACTCTGGTGAGTCCGTGTGACAAGCACTAATTTAACCTCTAGCTGACTGCAGGACGGAATCACACTTAGGACTGGTGGCGTACTGCCGATTACGGCCCCCGTAATACAAGAGCAACCATGTGGTCATCCCCCCGATAGGATACGAATACGCTTATCGACCTACATCACACCTTGATCTATGAGCTTTACGCCATACGCACTACCTCATATTCACCCATGACGATCCTTCACAGGTGATTTCATTAGCCCACTCAGACGCGCGACTACTATATGGCCAGTCGTCCACACCTATCGGTCACCGGCCTCATAAACGTCCTTGTATGCACTACGCCGCCCTCTCTGACTCTGTAGGCGGTCACCGCCAACTGCTTCGCTTTTCGAGTCAGCTTAAAAACGCCCCCGGAGGGCACAGCGCCTCCCGTTCGCTCCCTCATCATCACTACTATTTACGCTCTTTTCACTCCTGTCAACATTGTCCCGTTATACATTCCGTCCAGGTCCCTATAGTGTAATCCCTCCCTCTCTCCCAACCCTAGCTCATTTATTCTCTTATAGTTTCAAATCCCCCTCTATGGATATTACACAAAACTTATTCATAAATCGAAATTTGATCACATAGAAGACCCTCTCACACCTCAGCGGTCTGACTGATCTCACATCATAACTCAATCTGCTTATATGCATCTCTCCTCGCATTTAAATCTTAGTTTCTGGCGCAACTATCTTTTCTCTATGTCTCCTCGTGCCGCTACCGGCGGTGACTTGGATGGGCTTTGCCGAAAACGCCGTGACTTTTGTTCGCTCGTCAATACCGTCAAAGCGCTTTCATATTAATCCACAACATGGCATGCTGACTACTGCACAATGACCTGGCGGAAGAACCGATGTAAAGTTCCGAATTGGTGCAGCTAGTTATTTATGGAGAGCCCTCGACACTGCTCGTTATTGTTTTGAATGGCCCTTCTTCAGATTGTCATGACACGGCTATCCTTAAGATACTTGTATGATTTTTTCTCCGACAGGATCGCCATCACTTTCATTTATCAAGCATAGCCAAATCTAAGATTGCGCTGCCTGTCAGACAGGTTTAGGCGGTATTAGGTAGCCGTATGATGTCGAGCGAGGATCGTATCTACGCTATCAGAACTCATAGATCTCTAAAGGCGAACACGCCATATAAACTAAATCCTAAAAACAAATAAAAACGTCTCGTTGCTCTCCCTAGAATACGATCAATCACAAACATTTTTTCTAACTAAATTTTAGTAACAAAATATCTCTATATGGTAAGATAAACAGATGAGACAAATCTATAACTAATTACTTTGGCATGGAATTTTTGGAGATTTGAAAGTCTCTCATTTGAAATAGTTGGTTTATCCTCATCACGATAATTGTGTTATTTAACTAGGTATTTTGCACTTTTATGGTTCTCTGTTCGCTACAAAATGTGGAGCTCCGCCGCACACCTGGTTCTCAAGGCTTTAGATCACATGACCTTCTTAAATCTAAATCTTTTTTATTGAAGGTAAATTTTGGCTCACTATGGGAGGGTTTATAGGTTAATTTAATTAATAGCAACATGAATTATTGAGGCTTGTCGCTCGTTCTGTCGATTAAATTTAGATTCCTACAGTTCAACTCGAGTTTGAGAAGCCTGGTAGATCGCTTCACTCTAAGCCATTGGTACGAAGGGTTTTCTAAGCTATAGTAGTAGTGTGGGTTCCCACCTTTCGATAAATGAAGCTAGAAACGCCCGGCTCCATTAGCGTCTAACACTCTCTTTGTAACCAGATCGGCCTTTGGAATTTCAGGCTTGGGCCGGAAAAGTGGGAGGAGATATGTAGGGTCTAGCTCGTCGACACGAAGTCTCCTCAGATCAAAGCAGGACTCACCAAGAGTGTTTCACAACCCAGTAAGTTTGACCTAGAACCACCAAATATGATTACAAGGGTTCTTACGATTTCGGTGGAGCTCCATGCAGGCTATTAGCAGGAAATTAATCCCCTGTTTGGCCGGCTTTCGGCCAAGAATCAAGATCCGTATTATGGTCTCCTATTTTTAAGAACTCCTTTAATGTTTTACATGGAGGGCGAATGTTGACTAATATTGCGTGAATTTGACCATGTAGGGCTAGGTTGACCAAGCATGAAGAGTTGACCTAGATCTAACACGTAATGAACCCGTGCCAAGATTAGACCAAGGCTAAGCTCCTCCGGGAGCTGAGCCCTAAAGATGGACAGTGACGAAATATGCGGCCCGCTTTGG